AAAACAGAGTACAAACATTGTTCAAACATGCATGAAAATGGTACAGATGGATTCTTTGAATTTTTCTGATAATTTTTCATATATAATTTATTTAATTTGGAGTTACGGTTGAATTTCTATGATTTTTAGAAGTTTAGGACATTTTCTGAAAATAATAAATCATTTAAGATTTATTTAAATTCCAGAAAACATTTACTGCGTCAGCAGTGCGTCACTATGACGTCAGCAGGTCAACAGACGCTGCTGCTGGTCAAACCTGACCAGTGGGGTCCACTGGTCAGTGACTGGGGCTGGTTAGTGCCGCTGACGTGTGGGCCCAGTCAACGGCCACGTCAGCTTGGTCAAAACTGACGCGTGGGGCCGCTCTGGTTGAGTTAATCCTAAACAGATATTAAACTGGGGTTAATTAGGGCGTGGGGCCTAGGTGTCAGTGACACGGTGCGGTGTTTAGTGGCTAATTAAGCCAGCCACGTCAGCAAGTGACGCCGGCGACCACGGCGACGGCGAGACCTCGCCGGAGTTGCTCGGGACGGCGCTACAGCCCGCGGCTGGTCGCGCTGAGGGCACCAAAAGGGAGCCCGTGCTCCCGCGCATCTAGGGGCGCATGCAGCTGGGCACAGGGAGGCCGGGGTTCGCCGGAAACGAGCTCCTGGCGGCGGCCGGAGTTCGGGCGTCGGGCGTTTCGACGTTGCTGCTCACAAACAAGGGAGCTGAGGCGCTGGAGGGGCTCTACGGGTCGCGGCAAGCACAACGGGTGCACGCCCGTGACCAAATGGTCACCGGGGTTTCGCCGGCGACGATCCCATGCGGCGGCGGCTGCTGTTAGCAAGGGGGCGGCGGCTACGGCAATCAAACGGAGGCGGGATTAGGGGGAAGATGACCGGGGGCTCACAACGGATCCATTCGAGGCGGAGACGAGGCCGGGGACGGTCCGGAGCCGACGAATCGGGCGACGGCGACCGGCGGGTCCGAGGAGGGGAAAAACGTCGGGGCGGCGCTTCGGGGGCTTCTGGAGGGGCGTGGCTCGGTGAGGTGGGTCGAGGATGGAGTGGCGGAGCTTGTGGGCTAGTCGGGGAAGCGAGAGAGGCC